GGTAAGTATTGTCCGTTACATGTCGCAATGCTCCGGCGACGACGGGGCGTCTGCCAGAGGTATAAAGAAGGAAGCCAACAAATCACCGGAATACGCCTCAGGTGTGCGCACCGACCCACGAGTCACTAATTACCCGATGCGACACAGCTGAGGCGTTAATCCCGCAAAAAGGGAGAGCAGGAGAGGAAAAAGGAAAGAGAGGCAGGTCGCGCAGAGCGGACCTGACAGAAAGTTTGAACAGTTGAATATAACAATTGAATAATGTGCCAGACTTACTTTTTGACATAAGCTGTAATAATCTGCCTAAAAGCCATCTCTCTGGGATGTTTTGACATGAAACAGTTTAGAAACCTCTGCTGACTGGCATCTCTGACAAGTAGACTTGACAGGTTCCTCTGAAAAGCCAGTTGCACAACCTTGTTTCATCATGTCCTTCACATGTATGTGAAACTGTCAGCCCCTACCTCTACCTGCACCCTATTTATCTGGCTCTTTTCTGTCCCTATCTTGTGTCTGTGCATACTCCTAGGCAACACTATCTCAAGGGTTTATTTAATTTCCATGAATGTCATTTAGAATTTCTCATAATTCACTGCTGCAGGGTCATCTGTCAGAGGATTTAATCTGAGGGTGACGAACGGTCCCTCCCCCGGCTGAAGTTGCCGCTCCGATCTCTCAGTAGCTCATTAATTTCCTGCCCAAATATCAGCCTCCGTCGCAGTCAACAGAGGGTGGGATGGAGGGAGATCATATTTCATTATTACATCAATCAGACCCACATGCAGACACGATTGTAAATCAGGGGGAGGTGACATTAATCCTGCAGAACCAGTTTGTGGATGTCCTGAAAAACATCTTCGCCTGTTGCAGTATTGGAAAAAGTCAATTTATTCCTATTCTATGTATTTTTTTCTCTTCTTGTTCAATACAAAAATTAATCAGATGCCACTGGAATATTGTGAAAGGCTGTACGTCCTGCTTGCCAATACTTGCAGCTTTGCTGGGCGTTGTTAAATTTGTTTTATATTCCGTGTTAGCAAATGCTTATTCTTCAGCAGAGCAGTATGAGTCTGCAGTTCCTGCTGCTTAAATGCTCATTTATTATGAAAAGGGCCTCAGATACCAATCACCACTAGTGTTATACCAATATAAGTAAACATAAAAGGGGGGGGGGGGGGGGGAACACACAGAAAAAAAAAGAATCAGTCAACTTAGTTCATTTCGATTCCCATATTCACATATTTTATATTAGCGTGAGCATATTTTCAACCATGAAACATGTGGTAGGGGAACTGGCTCAAGTAGTTTCACCCTTCATTCTTACTGGCTGTCTATCTTGTGCATTTAACCTCAGCTCTGCATGCATACTGTAAGTTGCTCTTGTGTTTTTGTCTGAAATGCCATTTCCCCACATGTGAAACTCATCTGCTACCGACTCAGTCAAATCTTGAACCTCATCCATGTATATAAATACTGTGGGCTGTGTGTGGTGGCCAGTGAAGCACAGACAAACATTAAACCCAACTGTTAGGTTGCTGTTGAGCTCTGTTATTATTAATCTTTCTAGCATAACACTTTAACACCATATAATTGTTGTATGAAAAAAATTATATTATTATTTATATTGCACAGAAGTTACAGCTGTAAGCAGTGTTGATTGCAGTCCTTTACGCCTTGTTCATTTTGTTATCATTCCGTCCCGGGCCACATTCTTGCCTGTGGTGTAATCAGTGGAGAATATGTTCTGTAAGTCTTGTGAGGAGAAAATGCAGTCTGAACAAGATTAGATAACAGGAAGTGGAAAATGACAAGTAAATACAAATTAGGAAATGTGCTGGGTGACAAGGGGCAGAAGTGCTTGGTTAGTACTGTCTCAGAAACTATTCTTGGCATGAAACATCATGAGAACTTCTTTTCTGTTACACAGCCTTGTCCATTCAGCAGATTTTGATCAGCTCACACTAAAATGTCATTAAATGCTAGTAAAATAATACATTCTTTCAGGCAGTGTCTGTTCTTGTCTTGATGATTACAGTTATTAATTTTCTCATTGTCCTTTGTCCAGTGTGATCCTGTGGCTTGCTGTCATTTCACACTTGGTTATTGTACTGAGTCGATGTTGCTGTGGCAGATTCCATGTTCCCTTGGGGGAGTGGCCTATGGCTGAACGTAGCTGTCAGTCTTTTCCTGAACACCTTACACAGGAACACGTAGATAAGTGGGTCCAGACATATATTAGTGGCTGACAGCCATAAGGTGGTCTCCTTGGTAACATAGAGTGCGTTCTGTGTGCGGCAGAGACTTGCTGTACTGCGGGTTTGAGTCAGAGTGTAAGGAATACGTGCAAAGTGAAAAGGGGCAAAGCAGATGAAAAACACTCCCACCACCACAAAGACCTTTGCCTTAGTTCTGCGGCTGGCTTTCTGTGACCTGCTTTTGGATGCTTTGTATGACTCATAAACCTTCTTGCTGATGAACGTATAGCACACCACCATCAAGGCCAGCGTTCCCCAGAAAACCACCTGAAAGAATACACAGTATCAACAAAACATCAAGCAGGTCAGTGACTTCCCTGTCTTTATGCTAACTTAGGCTAACCAGCTGTTGCCTCCAACTTCATATTAAATGGACAGACATGAGTGGTATAGATAATCTCATCTTCTCTCTAAAACAGAAAGGGTATTTCCCAAAATGTTTAAGCTTTTTTTTAAATGAATAGCTACCTGACAGAAGTAGTTGAATCCTTCATGCCACAGCAAGCCGGCTTTGCTCTTCATGGAGGTGCACTTCAGTCTGCCTCCGGAGATCTGTGGTGGCTGATCACTTAGAACAACGTTGGGCAGCGCTAAGGATAACATCACTGCCCAGACAACTGCACACAGCACCTGGCCAACACGGACCTGCTGCAGCGCACACTTCCCAAACGGCCTGACTATTTTCAGGTAGCGGTCCAGGCTGATGAGGCCCAGCAAGAGGATGCTGATGTACATGGTGATGTAGAAGAGAACCGCAGAATATCGGCAGTGGATGGCGCGGAGATACCAGGAGCCCACACCTGCATCGCTTAAGACTCTCAGAGGGACTGTCAGGGTCATCAGCAAGTCAGCCACCACCTGTCATGCAAAGATCACAAGTCTGTTTATTCCTAGATGTTTTCTTGCCTCATAACGACAACAAAATCAATAAAGACGTCATGTCTTACCACATTTTTTAGAAAGACCACAAATGTTGAGGTGCTGGGGATGCTGAAGAAGATCCAGGCAGCCAGGGAATTCAGTATCAGGGCAGCTATAAAGAGGATGCTGTATAGGCAGGGGAAAACCACAGCTGTTATGCTGGTGTCTCGAACGCACTTGATGGAGGTGTTGTGCAGGGTGGTGTTCATCTTCCTATCTCTGGTGGGACAAAAGAGGCATCAAGCAAAGACATACTGTAAGCAGTTTATGCAAAGGTGGACCACTCTATTATGCTGTTTCCAGGTTCTATAGATATGTAAATGTTACAGCATCTTGCCTGCTCTAATCTCCTCAAAAGTACTGTAGCTGGGTTACTGTGTTTTCCATTGATTATGGGTCATTAGTTTAGTGATGTTTGTTTGCCACATAATTAGACTGTCTTTGAAATCAACAGGTAATGGTCACTTTCTGCCACATTCAAGTGCATACAAATATGTTTTAATACAAATGCTATAAAAAGTCTAACCGCTACATTTAGATGAAGGGTAGAACTTCCTGTTAACCACTGTCATTCACAGTGGCAGGCGATGTTGCCAGCTTCATTAAATTTTTAAAATGGACAGATATAATTAATATACAATGATGAAGGCATCTGTCAACTAACTGTCCCTTTGTTCATTCTGATTTTTCTTTCTGACTCCTCCTGTCCAACAGTATATTTTCCTGCTGTGCTGTTTTTACACTGAAAACCTTAACATCTGAGAATAACACTGAGGCCAGGAGGAGCTGCTCTGGCACCCAAAATGTACAATAGTCTTTGACCTTTGTCTGTTTTAGTGCCACTATTATTAGGTCTGTTGCAAATATGTTTACACAAATTCTGTCTTTGTGCTAAGCTTAGTATTTTATCTAGAAAGCCAGTAGCTGTCTTACCTTCGTACTCTGTCCTTGCCGTCTGGTACTGTTGGGCATGTGATGAACTGTGAACGAATGATAATTACAGTAGTGCAAAAAAGGAAGAAGTGAAATTTCCGGATCCCGTTCCTCCTTTTTATCAAGAAAATGAAAGAGAAGAAAATCCCAAATTGGAAATGCTTTGCTGTTAGTTTTGTTTTATAATCAGTGAAGAAATACTGACTCTGGAGGTTTCAGCCTCTCTAACTCTCTCAGTGTTTCGCTCTGTATTTAAGCGTGTGTGTGTGTGTGTGTGTGTTTGATGGATTGACAATGGGTGGTCTCTGGAGCTACTGTGTGGCTGTCTTGTCACAATCCCAGTGAGTGTTGCCAGTCTTCCTCTGGGTGAAAGACCCCTTCCTTCCTTGCTTCCTGTTCCAATTGTCTGCTGAGAGGCTTGTTCTGCTCCGTGCCAGTCCCCCTGCCTCGTCTAGCTTGCGTCAGTTTCACTCGCTGTTAACAGGCAAACCCTGAAACCTCAAACATGTTTCTGAAATCCACATCTAGAGATTTCCTGCACCTTATTGACCCTCCCTCCACCCTGTAGCTTATTTACCCCACCTCCATCTGTTCATCTTTTCTCATCATGAGACTCAGTCTTAACAGCAACAACCAAAGGGACAAAAAGCAGCTGTGGCTTTACAGCTACATGCATATTGCACTTTGTGGTTCCCTTTAGCATTAAAACCAAACTATGCTCTGACAGAAGAAGAAAGTTAGTAGTTTGTGCAAAATGCTACAAAACATTTTGTGTATTGTTCTTGTTGTTATATATACTGTAAAGACTGCATGAACTCTGTGGTTTGTGATACCATGTATAATCTCTAACTACCATGAAATGTAACACACAAATACAAGTGATTGAACATTTCCTTCTCCTCACGTCTGAGTAAGTATCTCGATAAAAATAGTATAGGCTACTCTGAGAGCAACACAACATCATTTCCTGTGTGATTTTACTTGGATCTGGGCCAAGTATTTCGGCAGATGGGAAGAAAGTAACCATGAGAAGTGACAGGCATGTGTTTACTGCAAGCTTTACTACAGACAAATTTCAATGTGTTTTAGTTGTTTAATCTGAATTTATATTTTCTCTAAATAGCACTGGACCCAAGGATTCAAAATTCTAACAAATAATTTAAAAAAATCATGGCTATCAGGTAATCACAATCTCATTTTTTAATTTAAGTTACATCACACTGTACAAAAAGAAAAACCAAACAATCATATTAGTCAAACTCATCAGATTCTTTAAGCACAACAGTAAAATAGTTTAGTTTCTTAGTTTGCTCAGCTGGAAAATACAAGTAGGATCAAGCAGCTGACTCTGAACATAGTTTTGGAAGCTTATACAAGTGATTATTTTTTTGATTGATTACAACAGTTAGTAGGTTTACAGCATTCTTTATTAGCTCTACTCATACAGTAAAAATATATCAGCACAGTAAAACTGTACACATCTTCTACTCTTTGCAGTATATTTCCTGTGTTAAGCATAATTAGCATGCCACAAGCTGATGATATTGGCAGATATGCACAGTGCACAGCAGCAGAGCTCCATTAAAGTCATGACCCATTTTACCGTTACCACAAACATTACATTACTTCAGTATGAGATGCAAATGTTAACTATAGGTATTTAACTTGTTTTGCATGGCAGCTTCATTTACACACTCCCTCCTAGACCTCTATTTGCCTTCTGATCTAGAACTTTCAGTGAGACTGTAAAACAGTTTTCTTAACATAAAACAGCACTTTAACATCGCCCCCCTGTCTTATACTGTTTATCTCAACCATCCTTGTTGTATTTCCTGTTAATGGTTTCCAAGATATTACAGCCACATGACACAAAACAGCACAACCTCAACATGGGTTCATGAAGTACATGCAGTGAGTTGCAGAATGTTAATAAATACATGAAACAATAATCTGAGTATACAAAGTCTGCTTGGTCCATGGCAGACCATTTTCATGAACTCTTGGCCATAGCTTCTGCTTTGCCCCCCGGGGCTGCTTTAAATGACATGGAAACATTTTTCATCATAGACACCAGCTTCTCCTTGAACTCTCGACACAAGAAGACATAGAGAAGTGGGTCAGTGCAGATGTTTGTGGTTGCAAGCCAGAGGGTGAACTCCTTGGCAAAATTGCTCTTTAAGTAAGAGCAGGTGCGATAGGAAGAATCTTTGACTTGTTGAAAAGTGTACGGGATTCTGATAATGTGGTACGGCGTAAAAGACACAAAAAACACAATGACAACCAGAAAAACACGTAGTTTGATTTTCTGCTTTCCCTGGTTGTTTGTGCTGCCTGAGTTTCGAAAGGAACGGATGACCTGGTTTGAGATACAAATGTAGCAAAACGTAATGACCACGCTGATGATCCAGAAGACAACATTCAGGAAAATCACAATCATGTTATGGAGTTCAAGTCCGTCCGGTCCTTTTAGCTTCATACAAGTAGTGATCTGTGACATATTTGCTACAGACTGGTTAGTGAAAATGATATTTGGTAAAGCTGTGCCTCCAAACAGAATTACCCAGACTGAGCCTGACATCAGTCTGCTAAAGGTCAGACCAAAAAACTTGTTCTGGGGTGTCATGATCTTGAAGAACCGGTCCAGACCGATGAAGCCCAACAAAGCGATAGATGTGTACTTTGTGCTGTAGAAAATGGTGCTGAAATAACGACATGAAAGGACAAATAATAAGTTTGACGCACCTGTCAAGTCACTCGCAGCTTTAATTGGGATGAGCAAGGCCATAATAACATCGGCAGCTACTAGATTTTTCAGGAACACCACAAAGGAGGAGGTGGCCTTCAGGTGCAGAGACACCCAGGCTGCCACCCCATTCAGCACCAAAGCTATGGGGAACATCAGAAAGTAGAGGGTCGGTACGATGCTTCGGGGGTAACTGAAGCTGTTACACTGGGAATCATTAAGAGTTTGATTCGCTGGCATCGGTGCACCTGAGGAAAGCAAAAAAGTTGAAACTTTAGAATCCACATTTTAACTACGATTACGAATGATCATCATGTTACAGTAACTATGTATTTAAATTGTCCCATCTGTCATTTGGACAATTTAGTTAGTCACTGATAAATTATTCAAAACGAAAAAGACCAGTCTGACTAAACTTTGTGTGTTTTCACTTTTATAAGACCAGATGTGTTTTATATGAGTTATCCACTCACTCAGCTGGTTGCCGTCATAGGTAGAATCTATCCAGTCATCCATTAGTTGCTATTTGTCCAGGACGAAAGCTAAGCAAGGGACAGAGAACAGTGCTGTGTTGTGTATGATGATGTTTATTCCACTGTTTTATTTTAAGCAAAGTCTTTATTATACAGTAAAATGCTCCACTGCACATATGTGCTATCACAGTTCCTTTACATTCAGTGTTATATTTACACTCCTCTGCCCCCAGTTGTCTAACCCTAATCAAAAAACTAAATAAATAATAATCTACATTTGAATAAAAATTCATGCTTAGTAACGGGAGCTTATAGGTTTCCTCATCCTGGCAGAACATTACAAGGTGGATGAAGAATCAACTTACTCAACTAATGAAACCTGGAAACATTACATAGAAAAACAATAGGGTCTGTTTCTTCTACTTAGCTTTGCAGAACACAGTGCTCACATTTAACATCGGTCACTGTTGTGCTGCTGTTCAAGCTTTATTGTATCATAATGAAGACGTTAAAAGAATTAGGCTAGTCACTATCTTTGTCATCACAGATTAAATACAGACCAATTTGACACTAATGATGAGAATTAGACCGTGATAACTTACAGTTGACGACTCACTCTTCTCTGGACCGGTGTGGCAATCGTACTGGCATGATTGGTGTTTAAGAAACACTGTTGATTTTCCTAGAAAACAAATCAACATTTCAGCTGCAATAAATCTGCCAGTTTATCTGATCATATGCAAAAATAGGAAAAACCCATTGGTCTTTAGCCAAAAGCAAAAGAGACGTCACACTCCCAGGCCCCAGTGTAAACATCACCTAGAGCAGGGACTGGATGGGGACAAGACTTCAAGTTTCGGGGTGGTTTCCTTTTGACCAACATGTGAGCCTCAGATAACAATAAGTCTGCCTCACCTTTAGGATGGAACTGATCAATACAGTGCATATATTTTTGGTTGTTTACAGACTCCTCAAGCTGAAATCTGCATTTTTGACGCTATAGCCACCATGTTTGAGTCATTAGCATAGCAAATGTTCCTAATATCAACATGCTCTTAGCTCTGAGCATCATTTGAAAGGCTAAATACACATCACAGTTTTGCCTACTCACCATCACTGTGTTGTTAATTACAAGGAGAAGCAATAAACTTTCTTTTTGAGAAACATTATAGCGCAGCTGATGATTCATTGGTTTAAAAAAAGCTGTCTTTCTTTCTTTTTGTGCTCCTCATTTGTTTGCTGCTGTTTCTTTGTTACATTTGCACCAGTTACTACAAGAACTAAAAGTTGATTCTGCAGCAGCTGGTGCTGTGGCATCGTGTGACCAAAATGTGTTAGAACCAGCTTACTAGTGGATATTATTGTCTGCTTAAACAAGAGAAGGTCAATAGCTGCCGAGAAAATACATTTCACTGATGGGGCTATACTTTCATTTGCAGCAAACCAAGTAGTGTGCTACAGTGACTAACAAAGTGGTTGCGTTGGTGTTTAGTTTTATTTTTTTAATTTCATTGTTTGACACTAAGAAAGATATTGCTGTATATAAAAACAATGTATTACTTAGAGAGTAATTAAAGATAATGAAATCAGTTAATGAGACTATAAAAAAAGTCAATATAAGAAATCCGTTTAAATGAAATCAATTATTTTTTGGCAAATGCTCATTCGCAGGGAAGTAATTAAATTTATTATAATGATAAAGGGGATAGCTCTAAAATCCTCCTATATTATTTTTATTATGTTAATTTCAATTTCCCCCCTAGAAGACCAATGAGACGCAAGACTGAGTTCCATCATTATGAGATAGCTGGCTAATGGCCAGACCCTGAGCTTAACACCACAGAAAGACGAAACAAAAGATAACTTCAAACTCAAATTTATTGCCATACTTGTACAGTAGGTGTGACGATAACACCTCAAAAATGAGATTAAAACAAAATATTGTGAAAAACACACTGTACTTATTCTACGTGACTATATATACTTATACATCTACATGGACAGACACAGTGCTCTAAGACATGATCACTGAGATGTAATGCTGACTCTGAATTTGTGTGTTAAAATGTTTGAGTCCCTGTAATTTAGAAGTGGATAATGAAATCAACGTCATATTTATCATACAGAATGTTGTTTATGTACCACGTTTTTATCTTGTTTGTTACATCAGCCTCAATAGATGTCATTCCTCATTAGATCACTAGAGGGCAGAATGTCATCAAATGTAAAGATTAAAAGTTACTGAGTCTGTTTGTCCATCAAATGCAACAACAGCCTGTTTTGTGACTATGAACATCTTATGTATCTATAGCTTCTTAAAGGTTCTCATCTTATGAGTAAAACTGTACTTTATTAGTGTAAAGCAACTACCTTTTCCCCCGTTTACAACCCAACACAGATCCCTCTAGCTTTC